CCCCCAGCACCAGCCTCACAGCACCCCCTCCTCAGAGTTCTTTGTTCAGCTCCAGAGACCACTCTGAGCCTCTCGGTCTGATCAACTGCAGCCTGTTCCCTTTGTTCCCCCAACCTTAAGGATCACCACCTGCTCCCTGCAGTTATTGCCCTGTATTAGCTCATGTTCCCTTTTTAAAGTTTTTTTTCAGTCCAGTGACACTGATGTAGCTAATTCCCTATATTAAATTCTCTGTTAAAATCCTAGTGCTGTGTCTTTTCTCCTGGTTTACCCCTTACTGCCACAAATAACTATATAAGTTTTGAATTGAGAAGCGGATAATGTTTAGATGGCCTAGTATCACCATTTTATTATATGTTAATTTAGATTTTATAATTTTCTTTGCATATTTTTAAGTCAATACCGTTTCCCTTTACTCATATCATACACTTTTCAAATAAATTTTAATTTATAATAGTCTTACAGAAAAGTTGCAAAAGTAGTACAGAAGGTTCCCATACACCTCCCTCCTGTTTCCCTTATTGTTAGTATCTTATATTAGTTTTCTAATGTGGTACATTTGTAAGAACCAGTGAACAAATATTGATACATTATTATTATTAACTAAAGTCATAATTTATTCAGGTATGCTTAGTCTTTATCTTATGTCTATTTTCCGTTTCAGAATTCTACTCAAGATACTATATTATATTTTGTCGTCATATCCCAGGCTCCTTGAGACTGTGACAATTTCAGGTTTTTCTTGCCCTTGTTAATGTTGAGGGGTACTGGTCAAATATTTTATAGAATTTCTCTAAAGAAAAGCTTGTAATCTCTAGGCTCTGGACCTGTTGTGCCTAATGGAGAAATAGCCTGTGTGCACATAAATACACCCAGAGTTGGAGGGAGGCATCTGTTTGTTTTTATAGGTGGTACATACTCTGCAACTTGCTGGCTATACCACCAGCTCTGCCTTGGCCGTGTGCATGTGTGCGTGCACTGCCTCAGCCTTTGAAGAGGCTACAAAGTATCCGATTATATGAATATGCCATAGTTAGTCATGTAGACATTGAGATTATTTACAGTTGTTTTTACTGTTGCAGACAGTGCTTCACATTTTTGTGCACAAGTATGAGTCTGCCTGTAGGAAATTCCTAGAAATGCTCTTGCTGGTCTGAGCATGCCTGGTTCACATTTTGATAGGCACTGCCAAATTGTTCCATGAAGCTCAAGCCACATCAACAACGTGGGATGTGTTGTTTCATGATCAAATAATGAATCTTAAGAACTGTGTACCATACAGAGACAGAATATTCTAACGATTCTCCATCAGGCACATTTCCTTTTTTCCATGGAACCTTTTTAGAAGGTCCCTGAGCACTCACACACAAAAGAAGAAAACCAGAACCCTGTTGGGTTTGTTTGTTTGTTTTCTAACAGCCACAGTAATTTATTTATTATTGAAGTCTTTATAAGATATTTGCAAGACAACCAATTTTACACATCAGAAATGGTATCAAAAGTATGAATTACAACACAGACAACAATATGAAATGGGCTTAAAACAAAGCTGAAGTGGACAGACAAGCAGTTTCTCTCTTTAATTTATTAACACTAGTTTAAACTTTGTTAAAGAAAGAAACAAAGATCTATGTTTTAGGAGAACTGCAGGGCCATCAGTTGAAGACTGAATTTCACAGCGTTGTACCCTATGTAGAGAAAAAATAAGATGCATTTTCCCCACACACACATAACACACTGTAATTTCACTCTTGGAACTTTGTTAATCTACTCTCCAAAATCCTTCTCAACAAACCTCAATATATCCAAATCAAAGGAAAATTGATCTAAAAGAGGGGACAATAAAATAAGAGGTTCTAGGTAGAGGGAGAACCAAGGATATAGAATCCACTTAAGACTGACCAGATAGCACCTCATGGCTTCCTCTTCGTCTAGCTCAAGTTCAGAATCTGGGGAGTCCCCTGGATAGGGCACAAACACAAGATTAATTTTCTAACTCATATCCAAATTATAGGACCCTGTTTTTTATTAAAAAAATCTTACTTTGGGCTTTTTATTTTTATTTTTTAAAAAAATATGTTTTATTGATTTTCTTCAGAGAGGAAGGGAGAGGGATAGAGAGCCAGAAACATAGACGAGAGAGAAACATCGATCAGCTGCCTCCTGCACGACCCCCACTGGGGATGTGCCCGCAACCAAGGTACATGCCCTTGACCGGAATCGAACCTGGAACCCCTGAGTCCACAGCCCGACGCTCTATCCACTGAGCAAAACCGGTTCTGGCACTTTGGGCTTTTTAATGACCCTTCAGGGGTCTCTATGTTTACCTGACTTGAGCCATTTTGCTAGTATACTGTGTTCCAATGAAATTTCCAGTTGAACATCAGTGGTCAGAATTCAGTGTTTCTTTTTTTCTTTCTAAGAAATTAGTCATAGCATGGATGTTTTAAAATGAGACTTCATAGTGTCAAAAGTAATATTAAGATTTAATTTGTGTAATAATCAGAATCCTATTAATAAACTGCCCACCTTTTTAACCATTTTTATATTATTGTTAATAGATATCAGTGAAATTTTATCAATACTGATAAGCCACAAAATATACCAGTAGATTAATATATTAGTGCATCAGAGCCTCCAAAATGTGGTATCAAATATTTTAAAAGACTTTGTGACTTTGGCAATTACCTTGTGCCCATACCCCCAAGGACTTTTTTAATGTAAGAAATTCTGTCTTTGAGTTTTATGACAGACAAAACCATTGAGCATGAATGCAGGATACACATAGGGATAGATTTGGGATCCATGTAGACAACTATAGATACTTAGTGTGTAGTTGCTGATAGAGACTGTGCTAGGATAGACCTTTTATAGTTTTCATAAATCTGTGTGGAAATCATGTCCCTGTTTGCTTCCTACTTGTTATGTTTACTGAGTGGGGTTTTTTTTCCTCTGAGGAAACTCCTTAATGGCAACAAGCTGCTCATTTTACATTAATATGAAGGGCAACATTCATTCAGTCAATGAACATTTGAATACTAATTCTGTTGGGGTCCTGCCCTCCTTGTTCTGTTTGATGAGGGAGGTTTGATACCAGACTGGGTGTGAGTCTTCAGAGCGGGCGGTCAGTAGGACTTATGAGAGGAAAGTTCACTTGAGCCTGGGAGCTGCAGATGCAGAGGAGGGACTGGTATAAGGGCTCCAGATAGAGAGAACTTGGCACGTTTGATGAGTAAGGAGGCCAGAGGGCCTGGATGGGGAGGCAGAAAATAAAAGGAGAGGAAGGCAAGGGTGCACAGGGTCCCATTCAGAAACTTTGGTTTTCTTCTCAGGTAACTAGGAAGCCAGTAGAAAGGCTAAGTCTGAAAATACAGTTTCTGGATTTAAAAGGTCAGTGAGGTTGCTGTATGGGGAGCAGATTGTAGGGAGCTAAAGAAAAATCAGACTTGGAAGCTTCAGATGAGGTACCGTGGTGGAGGAAAGTGGGTGGATGTGAGATTTTTTGATGATGAGAAGGTAGGGGGTACCGGAAAAGGGAATCATGGATGGCTGCTAAGTTTTTGCTTTAACTAACTGCCAGATGGTGGAACAGGTTGAGGGTGGGTGGAAATCCAGATTTGAGTTTTGGTTTCGTTATAATATATAGTCTCTGTTAAGTGGATGTGAAGGGTTTCTATGGGTATATTATCAATACCTTCTGAATCTTAAAATGTTCCAGTTTTGTTTTATTAGGGACAGGCCAGTATTTAGACCAGTGGTTCTCAACCTTCCTAATGCCGCAACCCTTTAATACAGTTCCTCATGTTGTGGTGACCCCCAGTTTCATTGTTACAAATTGAACATACTTAAAGCATAGTGATCAATCACAAAAATAATATGTAATTATATATGTGTTTTCCGATGGTCTTAGGCGACCCCTGTGAAAGGGTCGTATGACCCCCAAAGGGGTCGCGACCCACAGGTTGAGAACCGCTGATTTAGACCAAGTATGTCAAACTCAAAGGCTAACACGGGCTAAATAAACAAGGTTTAAATTTATGTGAGCTGTCCTGGTTGGTTTGGCTCAGTGGATAGAGCGTAGGCCTGAGGACTGAAGGGTCCTGGGTTCGATTTCGGCCGAGGGCACATGCCTGGGTTGAGGGCTTGGTCCCCAGTAGGGGGCGTGCAGGAGGCAACTGATCAATGATTCTCATCGATGTTTCCATCTCTCCCTCTTCCTTCCTCTCTGAAATATATTTTTTTATTTTTATTTTTTTTATTGCTTAAAGTATTACAAAGAGTATTACATATGTCTCCTTCCCCCTCACCCCCTTGACATTCCCCCGGCTTCCCCTACCCCCCAGTGGCTTGTGTCCATTGGTTATGCTTATATGCATGCATACAAGTCCTTGAAATATATTTTTTTAAAAAGTTTATGTGGACCGCAAAAAAAACAAAAGCTTCCGTTTTCATAGAAACATAGGTTTATTTTGATAGAGACATGTTGAATACAAAGGGCTGAAATAAATGAATAATCATTAATATAAAATAATAGAACATTTTAATAAAAATTAATATTTTTTCTTGAACATTAACTTACCAGGCACTGAATAACTGCACAAATTAATAAGTGTAACGCAAATAAACCTCTATTTTTCTTGTTCTCCAAATTGAGCACACCAAATAAGTCAGTCCAAGACTAATGATGTGGCAGTCGGCTGCTAAAATATTCGCTGCTAGTATTAGTGGAGAGAAATGGTGCGCCTGCGAGTAAGGTACATAAGGGAAATGAATGCAACATGATTATAGTAATCAGCAAATGTTGTAGTTCGTTATTAATAATTATGTATAACAGGATATTGTAAAAATTAAGTTACGAATTTTTTATTAAAACGTTTCTTACATAGCGTTATATTGGCTGGGCTGCAAAAATATTTGTTGTGGGCCGCAAGTTTGACATGCTTGATTTAGACAATGTTTTCAGGGGTTTAAATCACATCTTCTAATTTTATTTTTCCAAGGACCACTAGATGTCGCTGTTTACAAAGAAACAGTTATTTGTGCAGCATGCAATGAGGAAAGGGCACAGGTGCCTCAGAAGGGAACCATCGGAGGGTACCTTCAAGGGTGCCACCTGATGGGGAGATGTCACCACAGTGTGGTCTTCAGACACAAGTGATAACAACGTGATTTTTTTTGTTGTTTCGTTTTGTTTTAAACATGTTTTATTGATTTCTGAGAAGAGAGAGGGAGAGAGAGAGAAACATCAATGATGAGAGAATCATCAATCGGCTGCCCCCTACTGGGAATTGAGCCCACTTTCCAGGCATGGGCCCTGACCTGGAATCGAACCATCGAACCGTTCAAGGGATGACCCTCAACAACTGAGCCACACCGGTCGGGCAGCGTCATATTGTTTATTCTTTCTTCCTGGGCCATGGTTCTCATTTCAATGTTAAATTACACAAATTGCTTATTCCAACCAAATTGAATTTCCTGGGAAGATTTGGGAGGAAAAATGGCAGAAAGGCCCATGGTCTCCTAGTGACAGGATGGTCTAGTGACAAGGGCTCCTAGAATCTCCTTAAACCAGGAGGTGGCGTGACAGTTGTCAGAGGACAATAAAGGCCTTTCTTCCTGAAAACAGCTCTACAAGTGGGTTTGCTTATGCTTGGTATTGTCAAGCATGGCATTCGGAAGAGATCCGTTTCCTTAGTTATGTTCTTAGAATAGTTTTAAGTTTGATTAGCAGCAAGGGTTAGTCCTGGCTCCATCAGCGAGTAAAGTTCACGAGACCCAGACAATGTGATTTAATATAGGACAGAATGCTGTAGATTAGCCTTCTGCCCGGTATAATATTTGAACTGGGAGGTGTTTGACTAGGTAATGCTTGAACAGTCTTAAAGGGGGGTAGCTCAGGTGGGGGCCAGGGTACTGTAGGCAGAAGGAACACCTGGCAATGGCAGCACATTTTACAGCTTATTGGGTAGACATTGCAGTGAAAAGTTCATTGACGTGGGGCATTGGATTTTTACAGTGTTTCCCAACAAAAGCACAGCTGCTTTTCCCAACAAAAGCATGGCTGGTGTTTGAAGAAGGAATATTTTTTTGTGCAGGCCTGGTGACCTT